CCTGCAGAGCGACCTCTTCAGGTTGTCCACCACCTGGATGACGTAGAAGTGAAGGAGAACGGCTCAGTGGCTCTGAGCTGTGAGTTCGCTCCATCTCCCAGGGCGGTGCGCTGGTTTAAAGGTCGCACGGCTCTGAAGACCTCCAACAAGTACAGCATGAAGAGAGAAGGGAAGCGAGCAGAGCTGGTGATTCACGGCCTGACGGGGATGGACTCAGGACAGTACCACTGCATGGCCGGAGGCTCACAGAGCACCGCGCATGTCCAGGTGGAAGGTAGGTTAAACATGACTGGACACCAGCTGTACTGCACCTTTAGGTTCCATTGAAGGCGTAATTGTGTCTTTTGTGTCGCAGTGCGAAGACTGAAGTTGGTCAAACACCTCGAGCCAGTGGAGATCGAGGAGGACGGCATCGCCAGGTTCACATGTGAGCTCAACTACGTGGTGGCCAATGTGGAGTGGCTCCTCAACAACGTCCGGCTCTATTCCAACGCCATCAACCAGATCCAGCACATGGGCACCATGCACAGCCTCACAATCAAGAAGCTCCGGCCTCAGGAGAGCAGGGTCACCTTCAAAGCAGGCCTTCTTACCGAAACAACAACCTTAAAGGTCAAAGGTGAGCTGCAGGAGTAACTGATGAGGAGTTTTTTTTTTTCTGAAATTGAAATTTCTCTTGTTAGAAGCATGTTAATGAAATGATGCTGTACTGTGGCTCCAGAGCGCCCAGCGGTGTTCCTGAGGTCTCTGGAGGATGCCGTTGGAGAGGAACAAGGGGAGGTTTGTCTCCAGTGTGAAATTTCCAAAGAGACGGTGACCCCCGTGTGGAGGAAGGATGGTATGGTCCTGACAGCGGACGACAAACACGAGCTGCTGCAGTTTGGAAAGTCCATGGCACTGATCATCCATTCACTGAGTAAAGACGATGGTGGACAGTACACCTGTGACCTGGGAACCAGTCAGACCAAGGCCAAAGTTACTGTGCATGGTGAGTAGCAGGAAAAAAAAAAAAATTCTGCTCAGCTAGTTAGGGTGAACTCTGCACCTAGAAAATCAATTCTTGATGAAAAAAACAACAACAAAAAGCAGATATTGTTGATTTCTGCATTCCTAAATTCCAAATTTTAGGTATATTTTTTTCCTGAAACCAACACCAACACCTGTAGAACTCTAAATTAATCTTTTGGTGCATTTAATGACTTTAATGTTTCTTTCGCCCAGTATTGACCCTCAAGCTTCGAGATCTGATGCACAGTTGGTTCAGCTGTAAAATGTACAAGACACTGCCAAGATGCATTTATGATAATGTAGCTGTTTTATTTATTTACAGATTTACACATTACCATTGTTCAACGTATGAAGACAACTTCTGTCCTGGAGGGTGAAAGCTGCACCTTCGAGTGTCAGCTCTCTCATGATCTCATTGATGAACCTTCCTGGTCAATCAACGGTCAAGTGGTGATTACGAACAGCCGCGTTCAGCTCATCGGTAACGGCCGCAAGTATAAGATGACCATAAGAGATGCAATTCTGACTGACGCTGGAGACGTGGTCTTCACAATTAAAGATCTAACCTGCAGGACGATGCTCTTTGTCAAAGGTAAATATTCGTCTCTGTAGATAAATGCATGCATGGACAGTTTGAAATATACCATTTGATAGATCACAGACAATGAGGATTTTCCGTCCTTTAGAGAAGCCGGTGCACATCTTCAGGGAACTGTTGAACGTCAAGGCAGTTCCTGGTGAGGACGCAGAGCTGAGCTGTGAAATCACCAAACCAGAAGTCACCATCCGCTGGCTGAAAAACGGGCATCTCATCAGGCAGAGCCCCAAGTATCAGATGAGCGTGGAGAAGAATCTGGCACGACTGCTCATCAAGAACACCACCATCAGAGACTCTGGGGAGTACTGCTGTGAGGCCGAAGGAGTCGCCTCCCGCGCCAAGCTGGAGATCAGAGGTAGACTTTATTTTACGCTTAGTGCTTTATTTAAACGAGTAGCATCTTTGACAGTGTGATCTCTTTGTCAACAGATACTTGTGCACAAGAAATAAGAAGTTTAAAAGTTTATTTTGCAGCCTATTTGTTTGTATTGAGGCTCCATTTGAG